TCCCACAGAGTGGGTCTCCTCAGGGTGCCGTCGGCCAAGCAGTGCCGGCTGGCGACCCCCAGGGGGAGGGCCTTCTCTGTGGGTGCCCCCACCCTCTGGAACGAACTACCCCCCGAGATTCGGATAATTCCGGATCTCCTTACCTTCCGTCGCGCCCTCAAGACATGGCTCTTTCAGCAAGCGGACCTGACCTAGGGTGAATTTTATACTGGGTTTTTTAGGAATTTGAAAGACGCAACTCTAAATTTGGTTTAATTCGGTTTTAAGGGGGGGATTGTATATATGTTTTGGTTTTTAAGTATGTTGTGCGCCGCCCTGAGTCCCGTCGGGAGAAGGGCGGCATATAAATTAAATTAAATAAATTAAATAAAATAAATCCTTACATAATTGGTCTGAAGTACTATAAGGTAATTTGATCTTGATCATTTGTATATGAAGTGAGAGGAGTGTGAAGTATAGACGCTTTAAAACAAACTTGCTAGTGGTTTCCTAAGGAATATTGTTTTGATTTCTTGTAGCCAACATCTATGAGAGCCATACGTGCCAGATATGATCCTTATCTCCAGACCAGACACAGAGTTGAACAAGTAAGGATTTATTATGGTGGGAGAATGGGATGATGGTGGGATAAAAATAAAGCAATTTAATTCTTTGGTAGCTAAATGTGAAGCTTGGTCTTCAATTGTGTCCATGATCTTAAATAAATATATTTATTAAAACCAATTTAGCATTCATGGAGATTAACCAATTAGCAAAAGATTCTTTCACATAGAAAAGCATCAGTAAAAATGAAAACTGAACCAAAAGGAAAATATGCTAAATGCCAAATGATTACAGTAAGGCAAAGCTGGATCTGAAGTTTCACTCCCAAAGCATCTGATAAACGTTTCCCTTCTTCCAACTTATCTTTAACTGTTCAATTACATTCAAACAAATTGTTGTGGTAACAATCCCTGGCTTGGCAAGATGGATGGCATCACATTCCATTGCATGATCTTGGAACTGCCAGCAGCTCTCACAGAATGGCCCAAAGAGTAGTTTTGATTCCTCCTTATCCCAGCCTCCCTTCTACCTCCCCGCAGCTCCCTCCCCCCATTGCCTATGGCAGACTGGCATCTGGCAAAGCATGGCTGTAGCAGGATGGCAGTCCTGACAATTACTCTCAGCTACTGCAGTAAATTATTTGAGCTAGATTAAAAATGTGCACCAAACTCTGAACCTTTTTCATTGAAAAGATTACAATCTTCAAGAGGGAAAGAGATCCCAGTAATATGACCTATGCTGCTTGGACTTTATAAGTTAACTTCTTGAATGGTGATCTGCAGAGCTCTTGTGCCAGGTGTTAAGCATTCTCCACCATGTTATTTCATTCAAAAAGTTATCTTACACTGAATTAGACCATTTATTTTTTTAGCCAAATATTATTTATATCACCTGCCAACAACTCCCTTACAGGTTGAGAAAGTAGACTTCCTCTACAAGTTTCCAAATACTATTCAAAATAAATAAATGAATGAATATAAATTTTTATGAAAACCTTGGGGTGAGGAAAGCAAGAGTACTCTAAATATTCTACCCTATCCTTCCATATTCTTGGAATATCCTAGAACATTAATGGCTAGAGATTAAGGAGAGCCATAACATAGGCATTAGTAGAACTCCAGGGGAGAGAATTCCAAACTTCAGGGGTTATTAAGAAAGAAGGCTTGTGAGTTAAATGGATAGCTCAATATAACTTTGTTACTTGATGTTGAAGGACACTCAGTGAGGAATCTAAAATAAAACTGCTAATACTATAATGCTTGTTTTATACAAAGCTGTGAAGTAACCTCACTTGAAATATTTTAAATATATATAAAACATATATAAATATATTTTATATATTTTAAACAGATTTAAAAATATGTGGTAGATTTTGGCATGGTTCAAAAGACTGATCTTATTTTTACAGCTGAAGCAGCTGGGCCACAGCATCGACAAAGTGGAATTCATTGTGATGGGTGGAACATTCATGGCTCTTCCAGAAGAATACAGAGATTACTTTATCCGTAATTTGCATGATGCTTTATCAGGTCATACTTCTAACAGTGTAGCAGAAGCAGTCAAGTAAGTACCTTATGCAGCAGATACTTTGGTGTATTGATTAGTTTTCTATGTTAATCTGTTTATTGTACCTGAGAGTTGCATCATATGGATGTTCACAATTAAAATTACCCTGATGTCTTTAAAATTTTCTGGTGAGGGTTAAAATATTTTGAAAAAATATTATAAAAATCATTGAGACCAACAGTGATACAGTGACTGACTATGGAAGCTGTTGTACTGTTAATGAATCAAAGACTACTAAAAAAGGATCAAAAGCTTGTGCCGAAATCTGTTCCTGCTGACTAATTCAGTTTTCTTGTCTCTACTATTGCTTATTCAAGAGGGAGAATGAGAATCAAGACAAAAGTTGGGGAAATGAAATGTTTTATGAATTATGAGCAGATAAAAATTGCCAAATAATTAAGTCAGGATAGCATCTACTCAAGAAATGATACATGTCCTTTATGATAATATAACAAAAATGTGGAACTTGCTACCAGCATCAGCCTCAACAGTTAAAAAGTAACCAATGTATTGCTCATTTTAAAATAAGACCATGAGGAAATTGAATTAATTGAAGGCCATCTTGAGTGATTTTTATCTTAGGAAAATTGGTAGAAAGCAGCATTAGCTTTAGTAACTATAACATCTGTTGAAGATGGCTCAATATACAGTATGTTTTGCAAAGGTAAAGCAAACCAGCTGCCTGGAATTGCTTTTGGTTAACTCCTTCACCAAGTACTTCTGATTAAATGTAACTTTTCTGGAATATATCTGTAGGTAACTTTATGGAATAATAATAAAGTAGCAAATTATAGACTAAATAGATAAAATGTATTGATTTTCATTGCTAAGGAACATTTTTAAAAAGGGAGGTTGGGTTTTAAGTAGTTGTTAAGTGATTTGGAGTTGATGGTGGGTAGTGGTGCAGTCCAATTGGTTAATGTTACCTAATTAAAATATAAAACATTTAAGAAATTCTGAAAAATCCCTAGAAAGTCTAAGCCAGGGGTGTCAAACTGCCGGCCCAAGGGCTGGACACGTCACGTGGAAGCCGCACCCACCCCATTGCCGGCAATGGCAAAACCGACCCGATACGTTGCGCAACGTCATGTGACGTCGCAAGTTTGACATGCCTGGTCTAAGCATTCCAATCTTTCATATAATTTGGGCGGGACATAAGACATCTCCTTTTATCGTTGAGCAGATAATAAGTTCGTGGATATTAGTGAGATTCACAGACAAGAGGAGAGGAATTTAGGTCTCTGCCTTTGAAGTCAAAATAAACATTATTGTCATATCCTAAAACTCATAAACTTTTGTGAAAAAAGGACTGTAAAACCATGTGAAGCAGATACAATGTTCATTCTAGAATCTTAACAATTTCTTTCCTCTGGAGGGCAGCACATACTTAAAATAGTTTGTTAGAATTTTTTCCCCACTTAATTTCCCAGAGTTGCTCTTCAGGTGTGACTTGACGGTCATAAGTTAAATATAAAAAATATTACATGGGCAGGAATCCATATATTTAGCTCTTTCTCAGACTATTGAGCTGGCACCCTGCCAACAGGGAGACTGATATTCATTAATCTTTCTTGAAGGCAATTGCTTGAAACACTCAAATTGACAGTTTGCTTGTACATGTATTCAGACAGCTACACAGAGAAAAGCTGTAGATGTGTTGCATGCAGTATGTTCCCATAATCAACTCTCGCATGTTCAAGTATGAGTATGAAGGTCACCAGAGTCACTGCTTATTAACGTAGACTAGGTTTCTCCAATCTAGTGCCTCTGGATTTGTTGGATCGCATCTTCCATAATGCCTAAACAGTCTAGGTTGGCATAATCATACATAATAACAATACCTTAATCAAGAAACTACTAACTCAGACAAACAGGCTAATGGTAAACCACAGCCCAGTCAAGGAACCACCAAGACCATTCCCATGAACGCTGACAGAGCAAGCCCCTCTCCCTTTTAGCACTGATGATGTTACCTAGTTTGATAATGAAGTGTCTGCAAGAAAACAACCAAGCTCAGAAAACACCAAGGACCTCACAATTCAATCCTGAGCTACAAATATTCCCTTCTATTGATAATAGCAAGTTAGCTAGAATAGTTCTGTTTCCTATGCAGTATTCCTGCATTTCAATAATCAAATGATTGTTTTATGCTATTTTACATTGTTTTGTAGTTGCTTTTCTTCTATTTTAAAATCCATACTCTTTTGTAGAGATGTGTGCATATGTATACATAAGAAAACCATTAGTCAGAAACATAGTTGTCAGCTTACAGCTGAAACCCCAATGAAGGAAAAGCAGACAGCAGATAGTGATGAAAATAGATGTATGGAGAATGTATTAATCATGATTGACATGTCCTCTTTTAATGCAAGACATTAAGACATATTGCAAGCTATAATCTGGGAAGAGTGTTTGGTTTATTATATTATAGAATTTGAATGTATTAATTACATATTATTCAACATACCATAGTTAAACAAAGTTAGTCGAAAGTGCTGAAGCAGTCATTATTAATTAAATTGGATAAGTCCTATATAGCTTGATCCCTTCAATAAGCAGGGATCTGGCAGTACATTTTCAAACTAAGGTTTTCTCATGTTATTGAAGCATAAGATCTGTGAACTATAGCTCACTTCATCAGATGCAATGGAGTGGCTAGATTGATGTCAGATTTAAATTGGAATGAGTCAGAGGGGTATTGCTGATCAATTGGGTGAAAAATTGCTTGTGTATTATCACCCTTTCATTATATTGCATCTGGTGAAGAGAGTCATAGCTTACAAAAGCTTATATCTCTTAATAAAATTTGTTAATCTGAAAGGTGCTACTAGCTTTCTTCTGATATTGGGCTACCATAGACTAACACAACTCTCTTCCTTCAATATCTGATCCCTTCATTGATCAAAATATCCTAGCAATACAAAGAGATTGTTAAGTCGGTAACTGCCAAAAGGAAGTCCCACAGCTTTTCTCAACGTGGCTCATAAATGTACTTTAAATATCATGTATACAGCACAGATTGCCAGTGTAGTATAGTAGTTAAGGCATTGGAGATAGATCAAGTGCCCACTCAGTTGCAGAGGTCAGTGGTGACTTTGAGCTAGTAGTCATATTCTCTCAGACCAACACATCACACTGAATTGTTGCAAAGATTAAATTTGGAGAGACTTTCCCATATTTACTGTGTTGTGTTTTCATGTTCAAAGAGCTATTCTGTAGGACAGAGTTGAGGAAACATTTTGTTTAAATGTCTTTAATCATTAATTTAATTTATAAGGCTAGCTGATTGAAAGTAATTTAATATGCTTTCAGAATGCTTTAAAAATGCCACTTGGGACCAATACAATAATAGGGAAGAGGCATATATTTCCTGGAGAAACTTCAAGCCTAGTTTAGATGAAGGGATAGTGAGTTTTTCCGGAGCAGGCAGTGTCTGTTTAGTTCAGTGATGGCAAACCTATGACACGTGTGTCAAAGATGACGTGCTAACAACATTTTGGGTGACATGCCAATATTCACCAACACCCAACAACTATTTCTTGAAAGCATGCCCTGTTCTTGTGTGATTTTTGGAGGCTGCAAGAAAATGGGATATGCTCTCATGTGGGCACTGGTGCCTCAGAAATTGTACAAGAATTGGACATGTGAGAATGGGGCATGTTTTTCAGAGGCTGTGGAGAGCATGTGAGAATAGGCTGTGTTCTGGGGCAGCCTCTGAACCCTCCCAAAATTGCAGGAGAACAGGGTGTTTTTTGGAGGGTACGGAGGTCATAAAAAAAGCAGTCTATGAAGCCACGTCAAGAACAAAGGCCTTGTGCAACCCCAGAGGAACTTCAGGTAGTAGGCCGCAAGGACCTGTCAACAAAAAGAGAACACCATCTGAATATAAGTGGGGAGTGCTGGGCCATGGGGCAGTTGTACCGATCCCAAAGGATTATACACATTTTGAGTGACATCAGTGATGTCAAAGTCAAATCTCCAACCTTGACTTCAGACCCAGCCTCAGTGCTGCTGTTGACTGCCACTATTCAGCGTGGCCTAGATTTCAGACGGGGGAATAGAGAATTGTTTCTCTTTTGTTGATATGTGTGTGTATGTGTGTGAGAGAGAGGGAGAAAGAGAGAGAGAGACATGCCAGCAATGTCAAGTTAGATATTTAATAAATTTTTGACACGCTGAGCCGAAAGATTCACCATCACTGGTTTAGCTGGTATGCCTTACTTTGTTCTCTTGAAGAATCCATAGAGTGTGTAGAGGTGGTCCTCGGTTCCGGTCATAATTGGGACTGGAATTTCCATCACTAAGTGATGCAATCATTAAGTAAGTGATCGGGTGACCCCACTTGATTTATTTATTTATTTATTTATTTATTTATTTGCCATAGTAATTAAGCAAATCATGGGGTGTTAAGCAAATCCATCTTCCTCCATTGATTTTGCTTGTCAGAAGCCAGCTGGGAAGTTTGCAAATCATGATGACAGGAGCCCGGGACACTGCAATCATCATAAAAACATGCTGGTTGCCAAGCACCCCAATTGCAATTATTCGACCGTAGGGACACTGCGACAGTCGTACATCATTTCTTTCATCGCAGTCATAACTTCGAACGTTTGTTAAATGGTTATAACTCCAGGACTACCTGTATAGCAATGAAGTGCACTGCTATGCTTTTTTGTAACGTGTTATATAAGGGCAGCAAACTTCTATTTCATTATTACCTTAACTAATTCATAAAGCATAAATGTCATCCCGATTGCTAGAAATACTTTTCTGAAATACTGTGCTTAACATAGTATAAAAGTTTACAACTGGAATTAACAAGACTGGCCTTAAGCAAGGAAATTGCTTAATGTATGCCTATTAAAAATAATGTATCAGACAATGTAAACACTTCTCTGTCTCTCACACACACGCACACACCACACACACAGTTTTCATGATCATTTTTTTAAACATTCACAGAAGCTTGAGTAATTTAAACAAATATTTTTAGAAAG